AGTTTTAATATTCTATATTATTAGGATTCATTTGGATTACTTACCTACGGATTTTTACCTGTGTATGTGCGTGCATGCCCAAAAACAATTACTCACTACAAAGATGCATTATGTGCATCTCGAATGGTGAGAACCAAAAATGGTTATGGACAATTCTATTCAAAAACAAGCTGCCTATGGATGGTACATCACTTCCTTAAAAAAACTATAGGGATATACACTTTTTACTTGCATCTTAAATTCTGAACAAAAATAGTACTTTAAAAATAACTTGTGTATTTTACATACTTTTAATAATTTACCTACTAAGTTTATTCAAAAACAAGAGGCAGAAACTCCAACCTAAACTTGCGGTCACTCAGCGCTGTTTCTGACCTTAGATTACTATGACCTTACCTAGCTCTCACTTTTCTTCTTCCTATCTTCTACTCCCTCCTTACCTCTTACCCCTTCATATCTCTCCTTTTTACTTGGGGTTTTGATGTAGAGGCTTAAATATCTGACCATTGCATAGTATCGAAAACTTTAGTGGGGATTTCTGCAATCAACAACTATCTTTTTCTTTCCTTTCTTCTCCCTCTTCTTTACCCCTCTCTGTTCCCTCGTACCATAGGCAGCTTGTTTTTGAATAGAATTGTCCATAACCATTTTTGGCTCTCACCAGTCAAGATACACATAATGCATTAAAACAAGAATGCATCTTTGTGGTAGGCAATTGTTTTTGTCTACATGTAAAAATCTATAATAAATAATTATTGCTCTACTCTTGGTATTGAGCCCGCTTTTGAATTAATGCTGTGAATGTTAGAATTTATATTTTTTTTCTCATTACGTTTGTCTGTGTGTTTGTGTTAATGAACACATTCACTTTTGAATTTTATAAATGGAAACTTTAAAAAAATTGTGTGGGATGTAAGAAAATCTTTAATTCTCTAGAATAGATTTAAACATTTGCTGGTATTTATAGAAATAAAAACATCCAAGTCAGTGCTTCAAATGATTGTATATATTCATCTGTTTCTCTTATGAATTGGTTTTTAAAATGTAAGAATTTCTATTCCTTTTTCTAATGATTATAAGTTTGAAAAAATAAGTTGCAGCAGGCCATGAAAGTAAGAATTAACATCTAAACTGTATTTAATCCACTCAAATATTTTGAACATAATAAGAATCAACATTCAGTAAATATTTCGTTTATATTTGTATATTTTAATATTTAATAACTTTTCAGGTTTTCATAGGCTCATTACCACTTGGTGACCCCCCCCATATTTTAAGTAGGAAAAAACAAACAAGCTCCCCCACCCATCCCTTTTCTTCCCCAAAAAAGAAAAGCACCTTGATTTCTTTTTAAGAATTTTTCTACATATGAAATGGGGTAATTAAATTTTGTTTTGTGTTGTTATCCTTCTTGTTTCCACTTCTTTTTCATTTATTTATTAAAAAAAAATGACCTCATTTGCCTATATGATTTTAATTGTATTTAGAACTAGTTGGGCATGATGATCTTACTCCTTTATCCAAGACAGTATTTCTATCTGGATTTTGTTTGTTGTGATTGGCAATTCACTTTCTCTCATATTTCAATTGAGGACTACTTGGCAAAATAGTGAATGAGACGCTCTTAGTTGATTTTTCTACATGAATTTCATTTATTGTCACTTAAAATTCATTTGGTCAAAAACTTGTCTCAAATAAGGTTTACACTTATCGTAATCTGAAGTTCTTCATTTGACATGGCAGAATTTGGGTTACCATTGTTTTTCTTGTTTTTGGATTATAATGATCAGTGACCATATATGGTTTAGCCATCTTGTTGGTATTCAACCTAAGACTTTTACAGGGGCTAATAAGGTTGCAATTTCAGACAGTTTAAGAGTTGCATACATCCTCCATTATAGATTCTTGACAATTTTCAGGAACCTAGCAAGAAAATGTTGCAATTCTCTTCTAATTGTATATGATGCAGTGGTTTCCAAACTTTTTTCTCTAGGCTTCGGGGTGAAATTTTGCTTGCTTTTTTTAAATTTCTTTATATCTTATTTTCCAAGAAGCCAGAAAAGCACTTAGGTATTTTTTGTATTTCAGTAACTTTAAGTAACTTTCTTTTGTAATCAAGTGATAAAAAGTACATTTTAAAAAAAACAAAAAAACAAAAACGGAGAGGGCTAAACTACAGATTCAAAGATATTCATATTCATTGCTAATTCTCTCCTTCAATTTTGTGGACCCTAGTTACTATGTTCTTAATACTTTATATAATGCATGCAATTACAAGTAATCCATAATATTTTAAATTTTGAAATATTTATTTTTGGCATATGAATTTTTTGAAACTTTCTTTGTCTTTCAATCATTCTGCTTCATCTGCTTATCCTCTTCTGCTGCACATTTGAGATGTGCTGCACCATTTGGCAACTATTGGTATATTGACCTTGCCTTATTGATTTTTCATGTAATGGCAAATCATTGTAACTACAATTTATATTTTTCTAAACTAGAGTAGATTGTTTTAGCTGAACCTAATGCATATATACCTGTTAGTTATTGTTAATACAATTTTTCTCAGGTGTTTAATAAAATTTTTTTTTTTTAGCCTGAAAGATTTGTAGATCTTGGAATCGAGCCTCCAAAAGGTGTTCTTCTATTTGGTCCTCCTGGAACTGGTAAAACTTTGTGTGCTCGAGCTGTAGCTAACAGAACTGATGCTTGCTTTATTAGAGTCATTGGTTCTGAATTGGTACAGAAATATGTTGGAGAGGTAAGTCTAGAGTTTTTGCATCTTTTTTTTTTTTTTTTTTTTTTTTTTTTTTCCATTAGTCTTTTGTTTATAAGGAATTTTGCAGATGAATGAATTTGCTTTTAGTCCAACTGAGGTCAATCACTTATCTGAACCCCACTCCTACTTTCTTTTGGAAATTTTGATTGGAGTGTTTATTTATTTTCACAAATTTATGAGAATTCATAGCTGTTGCTTAGTAATTTTGGTTTGAGAGGAGTTCATCTGTCTATATTGCTGAGACGAGTTATTATGTACACTATTTACATTATTCGGACTATTGTCCTCATTTTTGTTGCCATATTTATCACAATGTTTCGGCTGTTGTAAGCTCCAGCCTGAATGGCCAAAATGTTGTGATAAATATGGCAACAAAGATGAGGACAATAGTCTGAATAATGTGAATAGAGTTCATCTAAGATTGATAAGATTTTATGTGTTAATATGAATCTGGCCAGCACTCAGCATTGCCTGCTGCTTTGACCATTTTGTTTTTTAATTATTAAACCTGTAGTCTGGTTAAGCAAAATATTTTTATAGTTAAATTTCTTTATACTCATTCTATTTTCAATATGTTGTTTAGAAAGACGACTGACCTCTACACTAATTGTTGAACATGGATTTGTCCATCTGCTCTGAGTAGGAATGCCTGCTCATAGGAATGGTCATCACAAAGTGGGTCTCAAGGTTTAGTTTTTGAGTTATATGCATTGCCATTGAATCTCTATTACTGTATTATTAATCCATGTCTCTAATGTGATTAAACCTTTTGTCCCAGTGTTTCCTTACAGTATTATTAACCAGAACTATGAGTGTTATATGACCTTTATAGCACAATGTATTTTATATAGAAAGAAAAAAAAAATGTTATAAAAGCAGTCTTGGTCTTAAGTAATGTTGGCAGGTCCTACAAAATCATTATATTTGGGAATGTTTAAAAAAATTTATTACTATGAATTTTATTTACTTTTTTTTTTTTTTTTTTTTTTCCTACAGGGTGCACGTATGGTTCGTGAACTTTTTGAAATGGCCAGAAACAAAAAAGCCTGTATTATATTTTTTGATGAAATTGATGCAATTGGGGGTAAATAACTTTATTTTTCTCTCATTTTGAGGATTTTTAGCTATGTTTAATTGATGTGGCAATTTTGGTATTACAGCTTAGTTTAAAAACATGCAACAATTTCTTTTTTTTTTTTTTTTTTGCAACTATTGTAAATGTAATATGAAAAAAATTGTAAATGTTTTAGTATTATAGTTTGTAGGATACTTTTTATTGTTCCTTGTGTTTATGTATTTTTTTTTTTTTTTTCTTTCTTCAAACCAATGACAATTCATTTCATACTGGATGTTCTGTAAATATTGTGCCACATTTTTTTTGTGTCTAATAAGAACCTATATAATTATTTATTTTATTTTTATTGATGCAGGATAGATATTACTGAGCCTTACTAACCTGATTTTTCATAATTATATCAAAACTAATAGTACTTAAGGGAGTGGTGGTTCATGGCTCACAAAGTTGTTAATAGTTGACTGTACTTTTTATCTACTATGAAATATCCTTAATGATTAGAAGAATTGATAATGAGGGACAAACTCTATCATTACATTTATTCCACTTCTCAGCTAGAGAAAGGAGTTGCTGTCTGTCATTTTGAATTAACTGTTTGGCTACTGTAGAATTGATTAATGCTTCATCAGTTTTATATTCTGATAAGGCCACATTACATTGAAACACAAGCAATATTGAGCCTTGGCAGTGTCAAGATGGGTTACCATTTGGTGTGTTGGTGGTGTAATGAATAATGGCTCCAAATTGTTAATAGGATAGCTGAGTTGCAATTCCAGTGGAGTTCGTTATATTCACTTACTTGCAAATACCCTTGAGAAACGTATGAATATATCTCTTCTCCATCCAGTTATGGGTTAATTAGTAAGTCATATCAATAAATCATTCTCTGAAAAAAAAAAAATATTCTTACAAATCTAAAAATATTTTCTCGTTTTAAATAACCTGCAAAGGGTTGATAAGCCATAAAAAACAAATCAATCAATATTCTGATAAAATAAGGAATTTTAATTCTTTTTTGTTTTAGAGTTAAAGGAAAAACAAAAAAGATAAGTCCCTAAATTATTCTTTTTAGGTGCCAGGTTTGATGATGGAGCTGGTGGTGACAATGAAGTGCAAAGGACTATGCTGGAATTAATCAACCAGTTGGATGGCTTTGATCCTCGAGGTAACATCAAAGTTCTGATGGCTACAAACAGACCAGATACACTTGATCCAGCCCTAATGAGACCTGGACGTTTAGATCGTAAAAATTGAATTTGGTCTCCCAGACCATGAGGTTTGTTTGTTTTTTACATATTCATAAGGAGAGTATCCATATTGGTTTTTTTTTTTTTTTTTTTTTTGTTTTTTGTTTTTAGACTTTAATGAAAATTTTTTATTGCATAAAAGAATACAATACAATAGCTAGCAATTTAAGACCATAAATTTATTGATTGGATTAATGTAAAGTTTACATATATTATAAGCACACATGTATTTTCCCCTAGCTTTTTTTTTTTTTTTACTTCTAATGCTTTGTCTTTTTGCTCTTCCTTTCTGTGCCTAGTTAAAATAAATTCCATAGATTTTGATGTTGTCATATATACCTTAATTTCTACACCTCTTTCTAATGTAGACCCAACATACTTAATGTTTATTTGATTTATTTTTTTAAATGATCTGTATATAAGATTTGTAAATTTTAATAATTGAAGTGGAGTGGGATCTTTGTCTTTTAATTATTATTCTTTATTTTATTTATGACTGTTACAATAGTCATTTGTTTAATTTGATTAAACATCTGATTTAGCCAAAATGTGAAGTAACTGAAAAAAAAGATTTCTAGTTATTTTTTCTTATGTAATTCACTCTTGCCTGCTAGGTGCTTTTTTTTTTTTTTTTTTATATCTTGCATCTTTTGATTTATATTTTTGCTATGTTTTTAGATTTTAGAATTTGTTCTCTCTCTCTCCTAATAGGGACGAACACAAATCTTTAAAATTCATGCAAAGCCAATGAATGTGGAAAAGAAGATCCGCTTTGAAATGTTAGCTAGGAAATGTCCCAACAGTACAGGTAAAAAACAGTTTTTTCTCTTGCATTTATTTACTTGTAATATTCTATTAAATCATTTTTTTTGTTGAAATTCGATTTTGTAGAGTGCTTGTCTCTTGCTCAAAAATTATTAGATTGAGATGTAAACTAAAATTACCATTAGTTGTTAAGATTAGAATAATAAATTTTATTTCTGATTTGATGGATATTTAAGACATTTTATTTACTGGAATGGTTTTGATTTGAGAAGGAAAAACATAATTCTATATTTAGCACCCCTCCAAAATCATGTAGACTGTTAAAATAACCAATTTGCCCTTTTAGCGATATTTTTGTCTTGGCTATTTTACAAGTGAGTGTAATGTGAGCTTTTTGTCTTGATAGATTTTTAAAAAATAACTCACAGGAACTTGTAATCAAATATGACTTGGTTTACTTTTTATAACATTGAAATTTCAGTACTGGTATTTCTTTTGATGGTAAAATAAAACCCTGCTTTATTTTATTTTTTTGTATTATTTTGATTTTTATGAAATATAGGTAACTGCCACTTTAATTTAAAACTTTACTGATAATTGAATGCATTTTTTTTTTTTTTTTTTTTTTATGATGGTTTGATAAGCAAGCAGTATTTATCCATTGTATTAAGTTTTCTGACAGCCACATTCTCTGCAAGTCATGTCTATTTTGAATGTCTTCTACTTTCAGGTGCTGAAATCCGCAGTGTGTGTACAGAAGCAGGGATGCTGGCTATAAGAGAACGGAGAAAACTAGCTACAGAGAAAGATTTCCTTAATGGGGTCCATCAAGTAATCAAAGCTCTGGCTAAATTTAGTGCCACACCTCGTTACATGACTTATAATTAACTCTTACCTTATATAATATACACACATGAATAAACACACACACACACACACACAATATTGCCTTGTATTATGACAAGTTGCCTGCCTGCCTGATTGATAATAGCATTGCAGTGTTTACAAACTGGCTGTTTATAATTTAGGCACAAAAAGGAAAATCTTTTTTTTTTTTTTTTTTTTTTTAAATAACTTTTCAATCTCTGACTGAATAAAATGTGAAAATTTATTTATTTTTTTTTTTTTTTCTGTTTTTGAGTTTGGCATAAGAGTGGGTGAATTTCAGCTTCAAAATACGATTCTCATGGCAAAAAGAGACTTGTGTAGTTAAATATGAAATCTTACAAATAATTTTAGGTGGGAATATTTAAGAGATCAAACTAATTAGATTGTAAAGTAATACTGCAGTTTACCATTCAATTATTTTAAGCACTCATTAAAAAAATAAAAATTCAATATAATAGAACAGGTTAAATGGAATGATTCTAAGTTGAAGAAAACATTTCCTCATTCATTTGAGATAATTGTGCATCATAGTTAACTTTTATGCTGCTATTAACAAGTCAACTATTCCCCCCCCCCCAAATTTGAAAAACCAATCTTTAAAACTCAACCTTTGAGCTGGGGGGAGAGGGTGGCTATTCTACTCAACGTTGAAGTAATTACCAGCCAAGATTTTTGTATTGCGGTTTTATACATCTCTTTACTTTCTCTTAACTACTTTGTTACAAGTTTCTTTATAAAAGTTATATTTAATAAAAAGAAAATCAGTGGGACAGAAAATAATTAAATTTTGTTTTTTATAATTCATCATTGTAAGAACTTGCATGTATTTTTTTGCATGTATTAGAATCGATTTTTTTAAAAAGTAGCTGAGATTATCTCCCTTTGTTTCACATCTACAGGACATAAGGCTTTTAAAATTTGATGTTACTTAGTTCATCATAATTGTTCATGTCTTCATTTAAGAATGCATATTGGCAAATTTTCATTTTCTTTCTGTAATGCCTAATTTTTGCTGACAAGTATTCAACATTTACTCACTTTTGTTTATTAGGCAATAAATGGCATTCTCACTTAGTGTCCACTATAGTTGACCTTTCTTTACACAGCAAGCAATAATGTTTTAGAGGATTCTCAAATTCAAAATTTGAAAACATGATATTCTGTAAATAAATACAAGTTACGAAATTGTGGGGAAAATTGTGAAAACGGTTTACCTCAGAAACACCCACGAATTTGTGCGTTGTGCAAACTCTAGCTGCTCAACGGTAATAAGAACCAAAATGGCGGCGCCCATGTTTTATGACAGGCAGTCTCGAACAGTTAATGTGAAATCTCGTTGTCTCATCATTCGCATGCAAATTATGGTCGGTCTTCCAAGCGCGTTTTTTTTTTTTTTTTCAGGGGACTTGTTTTTGCTCGTGACACTATTTTGTCGTTTTCTACTTTGTTGGACTTTTACAACGGGTTGTCGTTTGAACTGCGATTTGGCTACAAGTGTTGCAGTCGAGAAATAGAAGAGATCTATTGCATTTGCTACTATCAGTTGACAGTCTTTTCTTTACTACAGCATGGATCTCAGGACATAGTAACAGGAATATTTGACGCTTTCCACATTAACCTTGATAAAATTCCTCAAGGAACAGAACATGTTGGTATATAAAAGTTTTTCTTTTGTCTTGTATATAATGACGGACATGATCGGTGTTATTCCTGGGTTAAATGTTTTTGCAGTGGGAATGAAAATGTTTTCAAGCAAGCATGATTTTGTATTAAATACATAAACAGACCGTTAGTTTTAGTTGCTGTTTGATTTGAGGCAATCTCACTTGTCTGTCCTACCTGGAAGGCACGGTGGAGTAATGGATAGTGGCTCTGATTGAGGAATTGGAGAGCCAAGTTCGAATTCCAATTGGATCCCTTACATTCATGTACATGCTAATACCCTTTGAAAAGGTATGAATCCTATTCTTCTGAGGACAGCCTGGATCCTTGGGTGGCAACTGGTTTAGGAGAAAGTAGCTCTGAATTCAAAACTGTATGTAGCCCTGGTGTAGCACATACTATACAGCTAAAGAAAGGATCATTCGCATTGGCTTGATTCTGACTATGGGTGATGATAGCCAATTATAATACATTGAGGAATCTGAGAGCTGAGTTCGAATTCTAGTCTGATCCATTACATTCACTTATGTGCTAATGCTCTTGGGAAAGGTATGAATCCTCTTCTCCCCCAGCTATGGGTAAAATAGCAGGGCAGACTGGGTTTTATAGTCTTGGGTGGCAATCAGTCTAGGAGAAAGTAACTCTGAATTCAAACCTGTATGTAGTCTTGGCATAGCTAAAGGAAAAAATTGCATTGGTTCGATGCTCCTGATTGCAGTCGACAAATGATGATGAAAATAAGAGCTGGAACTTCAATGCGTCATCATATCCATCAAATCCTGATTGACTTTATTTAAAATAGTACAAGACCCTCTTTGAGAAGAAGCCTAAGGCCATTAAACCCTTCAGTCTCTGTATTGGAGAGCTCACTGAAGAAATGAAAATGAATTCTAGTCACATACACCAGTCAATAATCTTTTATAATTTTTATACTAGATTTGACTCTAAGAATAAAAATCCATTTCAGGAAACATTTGAAAACATAAAAGACCAATATTCAGATTATGAATGTATATATACAGATGGATCAAAGGATGAAGACTTAGTGGGAAGTGCTGCCATCTATGGCAGCAAAGAATACACAAAGAGACTGTCAAGAACTGCATTAATTTATACTGCCTAGTTACAGCCATTGATATGGAATTGGACATTATCAAAAGCGGCAGATCAAACAAATTTATGATTTGTACAGATTAAAAGTCTGCACTTGAGGCACTACAAAATAAAAATATGAAAAATCTGCTAGTTGTTCAACAGAATGAGTAAAATCTGTAACAACAAAATGATCATCTTCTGTTGAATACCAAACCATAATGGCATTTGAGGAAATGAAAAAGTGTATAAGGTGGCTAAAAGATCACTAGCTTTAAACACAAAAATTCCATACACTGATTTGAAACCAGTAATTAATAAATTTATAATAAATAAATAGCAAGTTCTCTGGGATGGTTGTGTAAACAAGAAATTAAAAAGGATTCAACGAATGACCAAAACCTACCAGAATTACAGAAAAGTGAGAAAGTAACCCTTGCTCGACTCCACATAGGCCATACATATAATGCATTCACATTTGCTTAAAGGAGAAGATCCTCCATTCTGTTTAGGATGCAATGAACCACTTACAGTTGCACACATACTAGTGAAGTGTATTGATTTTTATGAATTTCCTCTCAAATATTACCGGGTCATCAACCTGAAGACTTGTTTGACCTGGTTGATTCAAATAATATTTTGGGATTTCTGAAGGATGTAGAAACTTGAGGTTGCTGTGTAGATAAATATGTACTGCTTGCCAAACAGGCAAAACAATGTACATATAAACTATTTATGTACAAATCGTGCATATATATGTATAAACAGAATTTAGCATTAAATGACCTACAGGGTTGATATGCCAGAAAACCCATCAAATCTATTCTAACTATGATGCTTCATATAGTTAATAAAACCTACTCTGGAGAGAAGAACTTGACTGCACATTGGACAAATGTGTCTTGGGAGAAAATTTTAGTTTAGAAATGGTCCTTGTTTTTTAGTGTCCCTTCTAATTTTTTTGGTACCTTGTCCAAGAGACCTGAAAATTTTCAATTCCCTTGATCTAAATCTTGTTTCTGGTCAGGGATTGTGGATGAATCAAATCAATTTCCTCAAGAATGAGATGCTGCCACTCTTATTTGATGAAACTAAATAACTGAAATCTGCAGGATTTAGTTCTAGTAACTGCATATTATGTTGTATATAGCTGTTTGCTTTCATTTTGTGCCACATGCCTAGCCCAGTGTAACTGATTTTTCATTACTCTAGATACTTAAATAAGATGATGTTGGACTCTCCTGTGGATTTCCACATATGAGGATCCAACAACCTTATTCAGTTATGTTTGTGTTGCATGTGACATTTTAGTAGTCTGCCAGTGATCTGCATACAAATCCGCATATTATGTAACAGCATGGATCTTGGGACATAGCAACAGGAATATTTGACGCTTTTCGCTGTTGTCTTTCATCTCTTAGCCAGTCAATATGATTGATTTCAAAATTTCTGATACCACTTCCCACAAATATCTTCAATTATTTCTATCCAGGACAATTTCTTCAGTTTGCTCTTTAGCTTGTTTTTATGCCTGAGCTGTATAAATGTGTGAGTGTATATATATATATATATATATATATATATATATATATATATATATATATATATATATATATATATATATTATGAAATGGACAAAGTCCCAACAGTTATTTAAGACATTTTTTATGTTTATACGTTCTTTCTATAGATACAAATATTATTTAAGTAAATGCTCTGTTTATAATAAACAGTATTAACATTTACCGACCTGAATTGTGTTTAAAAACAGTAAAATCGACTTTGCTAACCAACGCTCCTCTGTGGCCCAATCGGTTAAGGCATGTCAGGCTATGTGATGTTTCCGTATAGGATACAGGTTCAATTCCTGTTGGAGGACGCATATTTTCTATGAAAATTTCTCAGACATTCAGGCCAGTAAATGCTGTTAATACTGTTTATTATAAACACGGCATTTAATTAAATATTTGTATCTATAAAAAGAATGTATAAACATAAAAAATGTCTTATATAATGATGTGATATAGTATATTCTTTATACTTTTTATTTTTTTTTTTTTTTTTTGCTTGTGTAGGATGACAAATTTACAAAGAGTTTGTTTAGTAAATTTACCCTCTCTTACAAAATTGAAAAATTTTTTTGGGCGATATGGAGAGTTTAATTGATAATAATATGAAATAAACAAGAAAAACATTTGAACAAGTGGAAATTTAGGTTGATTTATTTTTTTTTAATAAAGTTAATT